TGACTGGTAATTTCTCAAAAGCAGATCCACGAACGGGGGGAGAAAACGCTCAGCATCACTGATCTTCAGGGAAAAGCAAATCACAATCACAGTGAGCGACTGCCTTACCCCAGTACAAGGGCTAACATCAAAAAGACAAAAAATACAAATGCCAGTGAGAATGTGATGAAAAGGAGGACACATACACTGCTGGTGGGTACCATTAAGGAAAACAGTATAGAAGTTCCTCAGAAAACTAGACATAAGACCACTGTACGACCCTGCCGGCCCACCACTGTGGGGACACAGTGTGTGGAAGAGAAATGCACACTCATGAGTTCACTGCAGTACATTCACAACAGCCAAGATAATAGACTCAACACCCTAGGTGTCCAATGAGTGAATGAATAAAGAAAATGGAATATTATTCAGCCATGAAAAGAATGAAATTCTGCCACTTGCAGCAATATGGATGGAATGGAAGGACATTACGTTAGGTGAAGTGAGTCAGCCACAGAAAGACAATAGCACATGTTCTCATTCATATAGGGAAGCTAAAGAGGACCTTCAAAAATTAGAGCACAGCATAGTGGTTACCACAGACTGAGAAGGGTATGGAGGAGGAGGATGGAGAGGCAACAGTTATGGGTATAGGGGTGCAGTTGGAAGGAAGAGCAACTCCTAATGTTCCAGAGCATAGTAGGACAAATGTGTTGACAGTCATTGATGAGTATTTCAAAATAGTAAAGAGGACTTTGTTCCCAACACTAAGAAGTGATCTCCCAGGGGCTGGGGATTTAGCTCAGTGGTTTAGCTGCCTGCTGCTCAAGCTCAAGGACCCGACTTCGATCCCCGGTACGAGGAAAAAAAAAAAAAGTGATCTCCCTGTGAGGGGTGGACTCAGCAATCTCCTGATCACTACACATTGCCTATGGGTACTGAGAAGTCATGCCAGACCCGATACACAGGGACAATCGCTATTATTGTGATGTGTGTATGTTTTTTAAAATCTGTGATGTATTATTAAAAAATCTGTCCAGATGGAAATTTTAAAGCATCATTAGCATATCCTTCCTATATTGAATTTTGATTGTACGAGTTCTAGTAAGTCTATAGCCAAAACATCTTTTAAACACACTCATCCATCCATCCATCCATCCATCCATCCAGCGCATGTTTTCCGAGCATGTCCAGTACCCAGGCGCCATCTAGGAGGTGCAGCAGTAAGCTGCACCGGTCCTCAAATGCCACAGGGAGGGAAAGTTGGTTGCTGATAACTGAGGAACACACATAGGGCACAGGATGGTCCATGTTGTGAGACCCCAATACTGGGTGTAGGCTGGGTGAGGGTGGGGGTGGTTTGTGCCAGGTAGACAGGGAGAGACCAGGTGACTTTTGGGTAGAAACCAAAGGAAACATGAGTGAGCCTGGGTCCTCCTGCCTCCCCCTGCCTGCCCCTCCTATCCTGTCAGCGACTTCCTGTCCCCCAGAGGACAAGTTCAAGCTCTGAGCCATGGCATACCAGGCTTTCACAACCCTCTCCAGCCCTCTTTTCTTGCCAAGTATTTCAGGGGCAGCCGGATTCCAGGGTGCCACCATGGTCCCTGCCCTATGTGGTCACCCCTGTGTCACCCTTTCTCTTAAGCACGGGTCAAATCTGCTTCCTGTAAGAAGCAAGAATAGGGGACCCCACCCCTTGATGTCCTGAAAGACTTGGTCTTACACTGCCTGGAGAGGGCATGAGGTGGGGGGCTCTGGGGTCCCCAGGAGCTGGGGGTGGGGCAACCTCTGCCAGAGCAAGGGAGAACCTAGGGGAGCAAAGGAACCTTTCTTGAACAGAAGCAGGTTGCTCCCTGCCAAGCCTCAGAGGGGTCACAGTGCCACCCTCACTTGCTCAGCCTGGAGAACCAGCCTCACCCTGGCCCTGACCCTGACCCTTGGAAACCATGAGTCCCACGTGGGGAGGCTTCAGGCCTCTGCCTTTGGGCTAGGTTTTTACATGGTGAGAGGAAGCCAGCACATTCACCCTTTGTGTCCCCTGCAGGTCCTCAGCCATCCCTGCTTCCAACTAAGTGTTCTATGTCACATCCTGCTATGAACACAGATTCTCCAACTTTACATTTCCTCTCTGAGGAAATCGAGTTTGTACAGAGCCCACCCCCCTTGCCACTTCACCCTCTCCACTCCCCTCTTTGCTCCCACCCCTGGTCCTCACCTCACTAGTATTTATTTATTTATTTAGAGACAGGCTCTCACTCTGCAGTTCAGGGTGGCCTTGAACACTCTCTGTGGCCTAGGCTGGCTGCAAACTCATGGCAATCGTCCTGCCTCAGCCTCCTGAGTGTGAGTGCTGGGTTCATAGGTGCGCATCACCACACCCGGCATCTTTGCTCGGTGCATGTAGTTTAGGAGAATTGCTTTTCCAGGGCCCATCCTCTCCATCAGACCCTCAAAGAGGCTGCCGGCTCCCAGGAGGGTGAGGACTGGCTGAGCAGGATGTCATACAAGAAGCCACTTGAACACAAGCCACTGGGCCACAGCCCAGGACGGCATGCTCATTTTTAGCTTTGCTGCTAATTGTAGCTTTGCAAGAGAAATTGGAAGCTTCCACTGTGTTTTGTAGGTGAGCAGCTGTTCTGACATCTGTTTGACACCCCAGCTCCAGTCAGGGCACGGGGTGGTCCCCCCGGGAAGGAGGAGAAGGGGGCGCAGAGAAACCCAGAACACTGCACCAAGAGAGGGCAGGATGCGGAGGGCCCAAGAGGCTGGCTAATCTTGGCTGCTCCTTTAATTGCACCCGGTGCTGGGACACCTGTCTCTAGGGCTCCTCTGGGCTCTGGGGTATTTTTAGCAAGTGGAACAGAGACTGGGAGAGGCACTGCTCTGGCTCTGGGGCCTGGCTGGGCAGTTATCTGAGAAGGGGGGCCCTCAAACTGCAGCTGGGGCTCTGGCTCCCTGCTTCCTGGAGGGCTCTCTTCCCCCTGGAGAGGGTGGGATGTCCTCATCAGCTGCCTGGGGCCCAGGGGCCCAGGCCTTGTGCATGGTGCCAAGGGTCCCCCTGGGGAGGAAGTGACTGTCCCAGGACCACCTAGTAGGCAGCCAGGGAGCTCCAGGAGGACCAGGGGGCCCAAAGCCCAGCCAAGAAAGACCCATTGTCCTGGAAGGGTACTGGGAGGGGGAGAAGCGGAGAGCAGCAGAGGCTACTTCCTGATGACCCAGGGGTGGACACTGAAGATCAACCTTGAGCATCGATCTGCCAAATATTTGCAGGGACCACTGACCCAGTAAGTGTCCCATTTTGCCCCCTCCCAGGAGTGATAGCTTTTGTGCCCAGGGCCTTTCCAGGTGGGCGTGGTCACAGGAGTGGGCAGTAGGCCAGGGAACAGTCGGGCACAGGGGTGGGGCCAGTCACCTCCCGGACAACTTGTTGAAGCAGATACGTCAGTGAAGCAGGTCACAGCACAACCACCCACAAGGCACAAAGGTCCAGTTGCCTGACCCTTCCTGCCCCTGCCACCATACTGTGCTGAATGTGCTGATTGCAGAAGCTAACCAGGACAGGGTCTGGTTAGGCGTGAAGGAGAAAAAGTGGGAAAAGTGGGTACTGAAGGCTTTAGGGAAGAGGAAGGACAGCTGGTGTGTTTAAGGGTTGGGACTATCTGAAGGAGCAGCTAGTTTCCTCTGGCTATGGCAGGCAATCACACCTTTCCTTCAAGGCCCAGCTAAAAGACCACCTCCTCCACAAAGCCTTCCCTGGACTCCATTGCGCTGAGAACTCTGTGTTCCTTTTCCCTCTAAGTCTCCAGGATTACTTCTTGTGCTGAATCATCACACCTGATTGGCACGTTATAACCTCTCATGGTGAATCTCTTACTAGATTGGAGGAGGCAGGGTTTGTTTGGCTTAAAGGCTATGGTCAAACAGCTTTCTGGGAGTAAAAGCACTGATCTGAAGTGCTCATCATTCCTGCAGTGTAAGTATCCCTACCATGTACTTCAAGCTTGAGGGTTTATTACTGGCTCACAGAATCCTTGAACATCTTGCAGTTGTGCTCCTGGGAGAGTCCTGGCCAGATCCAGCTCTGACTGCTAAGGTTCTGCCCACACCTCACACTTGAGGCTCACACTTAGTAGGTGTGCAAACACTGGCCTCAAATCCTTGCTGGGATGGATGATTCCATTCCCCCAGAAATCACTACTTTGTGCCTAAATGGGTTAGAATGGATATAGGGGAAGATCACTTGCAAACCTAGTGACAGTCTTCTCCTCCTTGCATCTGAGCTGCTAGGCAATGTGACTGTGGCTTCTCCCAGTGAGAGCTGGGACTGATTTCTAGTCCCCCATCAGGACTGGCCTTGGGAAGTGAACAGCCACTGGAATATGGCAGGAGGGACTTTATGGCAGTTCTGAGCCCAGACCTCAAGGAGTGCTGAGTTCCTTGGCTCTTGTCTGGGGATCCTGCACACAGCTGGGGATCTGCTGGGGAGAGAGAGCCCGGGAACAGAGGTGCCCTAGGCTGGCCCAACCCAGCTAGCCCAGCAGCAGGCTGAAATGCTGAGCCAGCCCAGATTCCAATGTGAAGAATCCTGAGCTAGGTGAACGGAGGCTGTTCCAACCACTACATTTTGGGATGGTTTGTTATGCAGAAGAAGCTAGCTGATGTGTCACTCTTGTGCTCAGAAGTAAGCTTTAGGCCAGACTGTCCTCTCTGAGCATGGTGGAGACAGCCTCTTATTCCCTGTTGCCCATCTACCATGAGTAAGGACACCCAGGGTCAGCACTGTTGACCCCAGCACATAAATTCTGGGAGTATAGGACCCCAGAGGGTGCAGCTCCCTGTGGAAGGATGGAACTTGGGGCCCTGGAGTGCAGCTGGGGACCGAGCAGGCATCCCCCACCTTTGCCTGTGCCATGGAGCCAGGCTGGGGTGGGGCTACCCCTTTCCTATTGGTCCATGAAGATATCATTGCCTGTTCTTGGAATCGTCCATCCAGGAGCAGGAAACACAGCTACCTCTTTTTCTTGACTGGTAGAATAATTATTTTATTTTTTGGTGGGACAGCAAGGTGCTAATGCATTTGAGGTGGGAAGAGAGATAGCCATGTCTTAAAGCAAACAATAATTTTCCACTTTTAGTTCAAGAGTAAAAATTGAGCCAGTAGCCTGTGAAGATGTGAAAACTAAACCCTCCCCACCTGGCCCTCTGGGTTTGAACCACTGAAACTCTGTGGCAGACATGGGCAGAGAGGAAACAGGCTAAGAAACAGGCTTGCAGCTGTACCTGGGCTGGGGTGGGTTCCACCTCACCAGCTGTGTGGCCTTGGCCAAGTCACCTGGCTCCTCCAGGATTGCATGTGACCTGGGGCTGGGCTGGAGAGCTCTGCAGACCCTTCATGATGTGACATTTTCACTAAGAAAGGCAGGGGGAGCCAGACAGACATCTGCCCTTCCACTTTACCCCTGTGGGTGTGTTCTGACTCTGTCTCGTGACAACTGCCAATTGTGATGACATGGACGGTGGCTTGGACGATACCGGGGTTATTCAGACACCATGAGCATGCACACCTGACATTGGTTCCTCCATCGTGGGGGAATAGCTCATTGACAAGCTTTGTGTCCCAGGGTAGGTTGCCCTACCTCTCTGATCCTCCATTTCTTCCTCTGAAATACAATGCCACATGAAACTCTTACAATATTGAATTCTGGGAATTATTAAATGAAAGCAGGTACAGTGATGCTGTATGATTTTGTACATAGCAAACATACAGAAGCTTGTTTTTTTAAGATCTACATCACTTAGGGAAATGATGGGGGCCTGCAGGTCTAATTTAGCCTGAAGCAGATAAGCCGCACACCCAGACCTTCTGGGAGGTTCTCAGTTCTCTGTTTCAGGACTTTGACTTGATTCGGTTACAGGGGGACACCTGCGGCACGTTTTTTTTGGCTGTAATTTTTTCTGGGTTTTCTGGGAATACCCTCGGCGCCTGTCTTTGGGGGCTGGGAAAAGCATGGAGCGAGTGACGAGTGACGCACACAACAGGGCGGCATGGTGGAAGGGCGTGGGACCGGGACCTGCAGCTGCGGCGTGACTGTCTCCTCCCCACGGGGCGGGAGCTTTGCTCTTGCTAACAGGGAGTCTGAGTTCCAGCTCAGATGGTAGGGCCACCGAGAACGGTGCGCCAGGAAGGTCAAGGGTGGGGCCCAGAGCATAGGTCATTGTCCTGCTGTCTCCTCCTGCTGGGAAAGGGTGGCAGAGTCTTCCCCTTGTTGCTCTCCCTCCATTGCTGTGCAGATCAGACCAAGACGTGAGCTGACACCTTCGGGTAGGGCGGGGCGTCCCATCCCCACCGCGCCCCACCGTAGCGAGCCTGGCTGGCATTTCCTGTTGGCATCACTCTGCTCCTTGCTTTGCCACACTGCAGCCGGGCTCGGGACTACATTTCCCAGGCTGCCTTGCAACCAATTCCGGTAAGGCCGGCCAATGGGAGGCCATGACCGGAGCCAGCGAGGAGGAAGGGAGCCTCCGGGCATCCTCAGCCCTGTCTGCTGCTGGCTGGTGTTACCTCCATCCTTCTTCCTCTCGCAGTGGTCTCCATCGTTCTTCCACCCTAGGGAAGCAGCGGTTTCTGGAGGCTTCTGAGCTCTGGGCTCCTAAACTCTGCCCTGTTTAGGTTCCTAGATCTTCGCTCCTTCTCTACGTTGTTTCTTGCGCTAATTCACTGTTGTTCACTGCTGCCAGGACCACAGTGCGAGGTCCAAGTGTCCAGCGGGCCCCAGTACCTGCGAGTTTCACATGCGAGGATTCTACCAACCGCAAACAGAAAATAAATCTGCATCTGTAGGCAAAACGATGACTGTTATCTCCTTACTCCTTAGACAACACAACACAATTATGTGGTGCTGACATTGTCTTAAGTATTAGAAGTGATACACAGGGGGGACTGAGTACTGCCAACTTTGCCAGCAACCTACCATAGGGAGCGTGGGTGTTCACCCTCTGGGACAGGCCTGGCTGCCCAGGAAAAAGTCCCGCAAAAACTCTTAAAGTCACTGCCACTGGTAAATTACATGGTAGGAACATTCAGGAATATTTATACCTTAGTATCCACGGGAGTCTCCAGACTCTACACACAGATACCAACTCTGTGCGTGCCTGGGTCCTTATGTAAGGGGCATTGTGCATATAACCTACGCACACCCTCCCACAAACCTTAAATCTTCTCTCTCTCTTTTTTTTTTTTAGTACCGGGGATTGAACTTGGGTCCTTGAGCTTAGGAAGCAGGCGCCAGAACCACTGAGCTAAATCCCTGGCCCAAACCTTAAATCTTCCTGTGGATGTCTTCTAATACCTAAGACAATGTCAGCACCACACAAGCAATTGTTGTGCCGTATTGTTTAAGGAGTAAGACAAAGGCTATCAGGTGGCTGCCCCAATCTGTCCCTGTCTTGCCAGTCCTAGGGCCCCGTGTCACTAGATGTCACACAGGCGCATGTTTACTGGCTTCTCAGCATGACCAGGTGGCCAAGCCACGCAGAAGGCACAGGGCGGTCTCTGTCCAGGTAGGAGGTGTCCGATTGCCCCACCCTTCCCTCCTTGCTTCTTTGCCCTCAGGCCTGGCAGTGCTACCCACAAGGGTCTGCATAGAACCTTCTGTAAGAGCAATGGGTTCATCTAGCTGGACGTGCCTAGTTGGTCCCCTCACCAACTCCTTCCCCAGGGCAGGAGTCCAGCCCAGAAGAGCCAGAGCAGGGCTCTTTGGGGCCTGAAGGCAGGCCAGGACTTCTGCCACTAGGGCCAAGGGACAGCACTTTGCTGGTTGCCTGGTGTCCCCGCAGAGCTGCCTCCTAGGGGTGTCAGTGACACCTCAGTCTTCAGTGGGCCCATCCTTTACTCCTTGGACCACTGGAAGCTTGTCCCCCTTGTCCAAGGAATGCCAAATTCTGATCATTCCAAGTCAATTTTCTGTCCCATCGTGTGACAACGACTTCTTTAAATAAGAAAAACCCCAGCTAGGTGTGGTGGTTCCTGCTTGTAATCCCAGCACTCTGGGAGGCTGAGGCAGGACGATGCCAAGTTTGAGCCCAGCCTGGGAAATTTAGCAATTTAGGAGACCCTATCTCAAAATAAAAAATAAAAAAGGGCTGGGGATCCAGCTCAGTGCAAAGGCCTTGAGTTGAAGAAAAAAAAAAAAAAAGGCCAGAGTTCTGTGACCGGCCTGGCCCATTCCTGTGACCCTGTGCCCACACCTGCTTGGTGCTCACCATCGACTTCCTGTTCCAGAGCCTGGAGGTTCCAGCTGTCCCTCCCTTCCCCTCTCAGGTCTGCAGTCTGGGCAGGTGTTTTCAGCAAACCACTGGGGTGTGGCTGAGTGGCAGGGATGGTGGTGGCTGCACATGTGGGGTACCCCACACACACACTGTCTGGGCTCCCTGGTGGAGCGAGTGGGAATATTCATGGGGCTTGGACTGTGGGAGCCCAGCCACTGGTAACGGTGGCTCAGGACTTCGGGTGCAGTGCCCCTCCAGCTGCCTGGATGTCGGGAGGCTCCATTTCCAGCATCACTGTGAGCCCTGGTTAGGGCGGAGAGGCTCTTCTTTCACAGAAGGGAAACCGAGGCTCAGTGAGGAGGAGGGGCTTGGCCCAGATCCTGACTCCAAGGGCCTCTGGTGACCCTGGCCTCACAGTCATCCTTTTTGAACGCTGCTGGGTGTGGTTCAGAGGGAGCCTCTAGCAGCTCTTCGAGGGGACAGGTGGCTGGCAGCCCTCCCAGCCCCCACACCCTACAATTCAGATCTGCAAAACAAGCTCCTTGTATTCAACGCCCTGGGTTGAAAGACCTAGTGTGGTTTTGGATCTGTGCCGGGATTTTGTGAACACAGAAACACACATGTGGCAGTGTCTCAGGCATAGAGGACAGTCCGTAGTGGTCTGTAGCTGTGACCCCTTATGAGCTGGGGACAACTTCACCACCCATCCCTCCTTCAAGGGGAGAGATCAGGAGTCCTGCCTCCTCTTGTCTTCTCTCTATCTCTATCTCTCTCTCTCTCGCTCTCACTCTCTTTTTCTTTTTGCAGTACTGAGCTATATCCCTGACCCTCTTTATTTTTTTATTTTGAGACAGGTCTTGCTAAGTCACTAAATTGCCCAGGCTGAGCTCAAACTTGCAATCCTCCTGCCTCAGCCTCAGAGTTCTGGGTCTTTAAGCCTTTGTAGTAGCATGGCTCAGGGGATGTGAACAGCTCCGGGGGAGGCACCTCTGGCTTTGAATTTCAGGTCACCATTATAGCTGGGTGACCTTAAGCCGGTTAAGCCAACTCAGCAGCTTTTGGGCTGGAGGTATAGCTCAGTAGTGGAGTACATGTTTAGTGTGCACAAGGCCCTGCACTGGAACAAAACCAAAATAGCTCAGGTGCTCTTTCTAAAGCCAGGTGAAGTGTGGTGCACAACTGTAATCCCAGCACTTGGGAGGCTGAAACAGGAGGATTGTTGTGAGTTTGAGACCAGCCTCGGCTACATAGTGAGTTCAAGGCCAGCCTAGACTCCATAGTGAGACTCTTGTGTTTGTCTCTCTCTCTCTCTCTCTCTCTCTCTCTCTCTCTCTCTCTCTCTC